GCCATCAGAGTCCCTGCTCACAGAGGGAGAGCAGCCCCCCTGGTCAATCACTGAGCTCTGGGATGCCCAGATAGGCTCTTTCTCAGGCTGCCCTCCAGCCCTGCTGGGCAGTGCTAGAACTGGAAGGGCAAAAGGAGTCCTCAGGATGAGTGACATGGGAGCTGTGTCCCTGGTATCAGAGGGAAGGAAGGAACTTGGCTTAGGAATTTGCAACCAGACCCTCCAGCTGCCCAGTGCTTAGGCTGTGGCTCTGAGCCAGAAGGTGGTCAGCTTGGGGGCGTATTCCCCAATGGGGGGCCTCCAAGGCAAATAAATCCTTGGTCTCCCTCCAGATGCCTTCTCCCCAAACAGAGCCAGCTCTACTTGTACTGTTGGAGTCAACCAGCCAATGGGCACCGGAGCCACACTGGGCTGTCCTTAGCCAGTCCTACTGCCCCCTAGAGGGCCTTTCCCTCTCCTAGGAAAAAGCCCTACAGGACCCTCTGGAGCAGGTCTTTGCCCTGTAGAAGACCCATTTCTGACTTAGATTCAAAGAATGGAACTGTCCTTAGAGTTCGTTTTCAGCTTTCTCCTCATCATCTTTCCCCCTTGCTCTTTGTTCTTTTTTTTGTTTTGTTTTTCATGCTAGGGCTTTTGGTTTTGGGGGCCAGATGAACCATGGAAGTTGGAATTTCAAGAGCCAGTAGCACAGAGTCCTCTAGTGATTAAAAACACAGAATCCTTCCGTTGGAATCAGACTTTTGCAATCTTAGAATCCCAGATGCTTTCGTCCATGGAATGTTAGAATTCCTGACTCTTGCAGGCTCAGCAGGGCTGCTGAGCTGATGGGGCCCTGGCTGTGACCTTGCTAAGGTGTTTCCTGACCTGCTCCTCCCTCCTCACGTCACTGCTCCCCTGCTAGTGCTCAGAGCCCTCTGGTCCAGAGTGGGATGTTGGAGCCTCTGCTCCGCTCTGTCTATCCCAGGGAAAACCAGGTTAGGCTGGAAAGGGACCATGGGGCTGGGCCTCCTAAGCATCACTTCCAGCTGGGAGCCCCACCCTGCCTTTGCCCAGCCCACCTGGCCAGGTGTTGAGTGACAGGCCTGGACTGCCGTGCTAGGGGCTGTGGGGTCTCCATAGGGTGGCCCTGGGTGGGCTGCTGGGCCCCTCTGAAGTATTAAATTCCTGCTGCTTTCTGCTATCTCAGCTTTCCCGAAGCAACCTTTGTGCTGCAAAACTAAACTCAGACAGACTGTGGGTCTGGGGCAGTCTTTCTAATTTTCCTGAAATCTTAGCTCAGGCTGAATGCATTCCTGAGGGTCAGCCCTACCCTTCCACATCCAGGCTCTTAATCCGTGTCTGACTTTGGACATTTTAAATGATGGCACTCGGCTTTTTTCTAATCTCTGTCTATGCCAGACCGTCCTTCCACAGACATTTTGGCCCAGTATGTGATGAGAAAAGTGAAGATTTTCAGTGCGTAGAGGAATCTCTGGGTGTCAAAAATGGAGGAATCTCCTAGGCCCAACCTCAGGGGATTCTGATTTAGGGGGCCGAGATACAGCCTGAGAATCTGGAGTTGAAACAATAAGTATTCTGGGAGATTCTGATCCAGGTGGGCAAGAGCAACCATTTCAAGAGCCTCTGGGGTCAGTTTGGGAAGGAAGGACTTCAGGTAGATGCCCAGCTGGCATTCTCTGTCAATTTGTGTGCTGACTTATAAAGGACAGCATTTGGCACCTAGCACATCCAAGTGTTCGATTACGATTGTAGTCCCTGTGGCTTTGGTCTCTAGAGACCAGCCTCCTTGGAGCGCTCCTGCCCTCCTGCACTGAGCCTGCCTTCCTGTGGACGAGACACAGACTCGGCTGGGCATGCAGCTCAGCGGCAGAGGGCATGCATGTAAGTCCCTGCATTCCATTATCAGCTTTACAAAAAACAAAACTGGAAAAAGACAAAGGCCAAATCCCTGCCTGCCACAGACGTTCCAAACTTGGTTTCTCTGAAAGGGAAACTGACCGGCATGGAGGCCAATCTCCATCCTGATTTAGAATAGGAACACATCCCTGGGAATCTGTGTAGCATCGCACAGTACACTGGGGCTCCCTAAACCTTCCTTTGGGCTTCCCTGGGTCAATACACTATTGAACATGACAGGACTCCAGGCCCCTTCCAACAAGACGATCTCTTTCAGGCCAAGGTGACAGTGCAGAGATGGGCTTCCTGAACAGTTTTTCATGCCCACAATTCAACTCTAAGGCCTGGCTCCCTCGGTGCCTGGCAGCTCCCTCCACCTTCAACCCCTGCCATCCCTCAGAGAGGCCTGAGGAAAAGGTAGGCATGGCTGAGTTAAGAATCAGGTAGCACAAAACCCTACCCCGCTGTTCTCAGCAGCTGAAGTGACTCTTTGGATTATCTGCATGAGTGAGAAAGGAACTGGAACAGCAGGGCCCAGATTCTCCAGGAATCAATGAGGTGCTGAAGGCTCTTCCTTCTGGGGAAGGAGTCACTGGGAGACATCCTGCTCATCTGATGGAAAATGATTCCCCTCCCTGGAACCTGACAGTACCCTCCCCTGTCTACTCAAGCACCTCTGTGGCTTCACAGTACAAGATGCCCAGACTGCTTCCTCCTATCAATGGGCACCTCTTCTGCCACTCCTCTGGTCCATCCAGATGTGCTGCCTGATGCACAATAGATGACCTTTCAAGCTCTCTTTTTCAAGTCAGCCTCCATGAGGAAGCCCTCCCTGATAGCCCCAGTCCATTTGAGCTTTGTCTTATCTGACAATGCCAGACACAAAGTACTTCTGCCATCTAACTGAATGTGGCAGAGTGGGCACTGGCTGCAGATAAACTAGGGTGTGTGGCCCTGCTCTGCGCCACCTTGCTCAGGGGTCAAACTGAGCAGGCTACTTCACCCCCCTGGGCCTTAGTTTCTCTCTAGTTAGAGATGAGGCCGGCTGCCACCCTGAGGGCAAGGTGCATTATGCTGTATGCTGTGCTCTGAGTGCATTGTCCTGATTTTCCCTGGCAAGAGCCTTCCAGCCTTCAGTACCATCTAGAATCACCAGGGGCCCTGGAGAGGGCCAGGGGTGGCCAAGGATCTGGTACTAGGGTGGGAATGGGATGGTCTAGGGCCTGAGTTCTTCCTGTGGGCAGAGTTGGGAGGGCCCAGCTCTCTGGCTAGGAGCCCCTGATCTGTGAGGGGTACAAGGGTGGTGACTGCACTCCCAGACTGTGACAGACCGGCTAGAAATGATGGGGAGGCTGCAGCTGGCGCCGCCAAAGCAAGAGGCACCATTAGCCAAGAGTCACTGCTCTGAGTCTCTTGAGTATCCCTCACAGTCCTTGTCACCATCATGATAGCCTCTTCCCTGAGGCCCTGGGTCCAGCTCTGAGGTCATCATCCACTCAGAGTGGTGGGCCCACGCTGTACCAGGTGGTGGGTATTTAGAGCATCGTCCCCTGAAAGAGGCTTGCTGCTGATTGCCAACAAGGATCCATTTGGGAGGCTTGTGGTTCAGGAGGGGCGGGGGCGAGTGGCATGGCTCTCGTACCCAGCCTGGCCCTGCACTGCTCTGCCAGTCACATCCTCCCGGAGCAGCTGGCTTCATTTCCATGGTGCCCTGGCCCAGGTTCACAAGGCAGCTTGCTTTCCTCAAGGACCAACTGTGTGCTGAGCAGCCGGAAGCTCCTCTCACACTGCTGGGCAGGTGGGGGTGGCACTTGGGGAGGTTGAGCCAGGAAGGGATTAGTAACCAGGCAGCGGGTAGCTCCAAGCCATGTGCCCAGGCGAGCGGGTAGCGTAAGTGGAAGGCGCTTGGCAGCATGAACTACCACTCCCCGCCAAGCAGCAGGAATGAGGTGGTGGGGAGATGCTCTGCGCGGAGGAGTGAGAGGCGCCTGTACCCCAGATGGTCACAGTGATGTCTGATAACCTGAAGAGACAGAGGGCCTGAGTAGCACCTGTACTCTGGGAAGCAGGTATGTGAGGTCCAGGCCCACTAAGGATCTCAGGCCCCAGAGGGTGGATGGGTACAGATGCTGGCTATAAGACACCAGCCTAGTGGCTTAGGACAGGAAGCCATCTGACGGAAGCACCGATTGCCAGCCCCTGTGGGGCCCCGGAGCAGCAGGGGGCCGGCTTGGGAGACAGAGTTAATCTAAAGAGCATCAGGCCTGCTCCTGCCAGAAGGTGACCTTGTGTATGGGACAGCTGCCACCCACACTGGGCATCTTTAGGACACAAAGGGATGGCCGGTGGGCCACTGCTGACCATTTTGTGGGCAGCCTGCCAGCTCTTTGCTGTGGCCCACCCTGCTGTCTCCCTAGGGGCCCAGGCCCTTCACTAATCCCTTCCTTTTGCTTGCATCGTAGGCTCTTAAGAACAGGTGAGTGACAGATGACAGGCTGATCTGTGCTGGATGTGCAGACTGCCAGGCTTTCAGCTGGTGGTCTGTGGTCTCAATCTTTCTCACCCTGCAGCCTCCTTAAAGAAGTTCTGCATACAAAGGGCAAGGTGCTAGGACCAGGCATCCCCAGCTGTCTCTTCTGATATTCGGAGCATGTCTACTTGTCTCCTCCTGCCACTCAGACTTCTGATCTTAGGATGAATAGGGGCCCAGATACACAGAAATGAGCATGGCCTGGAGAAAGCGATTGGGCTGTGGCTCTGATGGGGCGTCCTCACACCCCTACATCACAGTCCACCCTGATCATGGTTCACCAGATACCCCAATCCCCTACCTCTGGCCCAGGCTGTTCTCTCTCTACTCTGCTCCTGACAGACCCGCAGTGGCTCACCCTGATTCCCTGGGCCAAGATGGACACCGAGTTCTGACCCCACTTCCAATGCGCTTCTTTTGCTGCCTGTGTTTTTGATGCTCCAGGGCCAGGAAGGTCACATGGGGCCTGTTTGCCCTTGGTGTTTCCTTAGGCCTGGGCCTTCCTGAGTCCTGAGGGAGGCAGGGTCCACTGGAAGAGCTGTTTGGGTTACTTGGCACATCTAGGGAATCTGAGGCCAGGTCCTGGCTGATAGTCTCCCTGTGGCCAAGGCCTTCGGGCCTGGGCAAAGGCCTGGTAGAGAGGGATGGGGGAAATGGGAGGGAGTCACACACTTCCTCCCCCAGCTGGAGGCGCAAGCTGCCCTTGTCCTGGAGGGCACTTCTGTGGGGCTGGGGTATCACAGTGAATGATCTGGGTCCTGGCCTCCCAGGCAGCCTGTTCAGGCTCCCAGAGGCAAAGCTGGGCTTGGTCATCTGGGGGCACTCAGGAACCTTGAAGGGGCTTGTGTCCCTGGGAAGTACTGGATAGAGTGGGCTGAGGGGGAGCAGGAAAGCAGGCAAGGCCTTCCTGCCTCAAAGCCCACTTCTGCCTCAACCTGCCACCTATAACAGCAGTCCTGGGTGGGGCATTCCTCTACCCTGGCACCTCCCCCCATGCCCCCAGGGCTCACATGAGTCTCTGAATGCCCCAGATGGCCCCGTGGCAGTTGGCTTTGGTGAGGCCTGGTAGCAGGTGGGAGGAGGAGGAGGAGGAGGGAAGGGTGTCAATGAAAACCATATAAAAAAATCCAGAAATGTGCATATAAAATCTCGCCCTTGCTGTATTGCCTAAGTCAGTAAGCAGAAAGCACCTTCTTCCTGGAGAAGGATCAAGTCCTCAAAAGGTAGGAAATGTCAAAGTGTCACTTCATTGTCATTAAAAAACAAAAAACAAAAAACAACAACAAAAAAAAACTCCCAACCAACAAACCCCCCAAACCAAAACCACCCCTGACCAAAATACCCCAGAGTCCACGAATCGCTGTAAACAAACCCAGTTGCAAGGTCAACCCTTCTCAGTGGCAGTCGTCGCTGATGACAGTCTCTGCAGCATCCGTCCTCCAGTGGGGACCCGTAGGAGTGGGCACCCAGGTAGGTCAGCTGCTGGCATGCAGAGCTGCAGGCCTGGGGTGGCTGTCTTCAGGAAGGCCACTTGCCTGGTGGCCCCTGCTCTCCGTGGCCCAGGAGGACAAGAGCCCCTTTGTAGCCCCGTGAAGCAACAGCAGAAACAGTCTCTCATTGGAGATTTAAAATACTCTCCAAAGACAGAAAACTTCTTCTCTGTGCCTGGCGGCAGCTGGCTAAATTCTTCCAGAGTGGTCTTGGGCCGGCCACCTGCCAGCCTGCCCTCTCTGTCTGGTGCTCGGCTGTTGAGTGAGGCCCCCAAGAGCGGCCCAAGGACAGGAGAGAAGGGCAGCCTGTCCATCTCTCCCCTTCACATTTGTTTTCCTGAAAGTGTTTCTCGGCTCTGGCCAGGTCATCTTCCCAGAAGGAGTTGAAGAGAAACTGCTTTTGGTCTCCGATTGGACAAGTCGCATGGATCTCCCAAGCCTTATTTTTCTCCCAAGAACCATCATCGCTTTCCTTATGAGAATTCTCTTTTAAAAATATTCCTTGTATTTCCCGCCCCCTCCCGAATCTTGTTTCTTTATCCCCCATTCCCTTTTGATTCTGTCATTTGAGCTGCACGTGTTCTCGGTGACATCTCCTGGCTGGAGCACTGCTTGGTTCTTCCTGCTGCCCGTGCTCTCCCGGAGGCGGGCTGCCGACCCTGCGGAGAACGGAGCACCAGGGGGCCGGTGTGGGGCGGAGGGGGCGGCCAGAGGAAGAGGCGAGCCGAGGCAGGCGAGCGTCAGACCTCCACAGACTGGATCTGGTTCATCTGGGCCCTCATCACCTGGATACTGTTCAGGATTTTTTTCTGGTGGCCCGCCAGGGTGACCCCAACCCGTAGAATGTCCCTTTGGGAGAGAAACACATGTGTTAGGGACGTGAGTGTAGGGGATGGGCTTTGGGTCTGGTGGCAGGTTTGGAACCGTGGTGGGTGGGTGTGAGAACTGGTGTTGGTGACAGAGACAGACAGAGCAGCAGACGGAGGCAGAGCACCTGGGTGCCCTTTCTTGGCTGTGGGAGAGGAATTTGCCTCGACTAAGTAAGCACCCATTTCCTTTATTTCCCCCTCACCTGCTTACCAACCCTAACTTACAGATGAAAAAACAGAGGTCACATAGCCAGAACGTGGCAGACAGACCTGTAAGTGAACCAGGATGTCATTGTAAAGCTGCCTAGGGCCGGCCAAATAGCTCAGAGGATTAAAGTGCCTGCAAGGAGGTATAGGGGCTGGGTGTTCGACAACTGGGCCTGCCGTGCCAGCCCCGCCCCCTGGGTGCAGGCCCCGCCCCCTGGGTGCAGGCCCTGCCCCCCTAAGCTAGCTGAGCCAACAACTGAGACTGGGCACGGAGGCCCGGCCTGTAATCCCAGCCCTTGGGAGTCTGTAAACAGGCGAATCACTACGAGTCTGATCTATAGTGAGACTCTGAGCACCCTCAGACCCTTCCCTAAAATACACACACACACACAAAAAGCTGCCTTGCTTTATGTCCCTCCCTGCTACTTCCCCCCTCCCCACTGAGATGCTGTCCATCCCTCCCCTTCCAAAGCACCCGCCTTGGTGTGGGATGATGGGGAGCGTGTGCAAAGGGTGACGGGTGCAGGCGCTGGGTACTTACTCCATCATCATCTGAGACACGACGTCGAAGGAGGTGAAGCCGGCACTGGCGAAGCTCTCCTTGTACTGCCCCATCTTGATGGCCTCCAGCCACTCGTCCACCGTGTTAAAGCTGGTGTAGTCAGGGATCGTGCGGTCCAGCAGCGGCAGGTTGATGCTGGGGTGGGGCGGGTGACAGCGATGGTCAGGGGATGCACTTGTGGGGAGTGTGAGGGTAGGGATTTGCATGCGGGTATCAGCAGAGTGAGTGTGTGTGTGTGTGTGTGTGTGTGTGTATTTCTGTGATCACATGCACAAGTTTGAACCTGTGCAAATGTTTGAGTATGGGATAGAAAGTGTGCATAGAATGTGTGCAGGACTCAAAGCTGGGGTGGCTTGGAAGGCTCTGCTGAGGTTGTACTTCGGGAGTGAGACACAATAACTTAGGGCTGAAGGACTTTGGCCCATGGAGTCTCTAGGCACAGTCAGACCTGGATCTTGGGGATACCTGACTGGATGATCTTCAGGAGCCCTCTAGCACTGTGGGGTCCCAGAGAGTCAGAGGGTGTTGGGTCAGTGACAGTGTGACAGTCACCCAAGGAAGGCAGAGTTGAGGTGTGGCCTGATGGAAAGTTGTTGTGGCTTTGGGGAGAGAGGAAGCCCTGGGACACCTGAGCTGACACTCCAGGGCTGAGCCTATCTCCGGCATGGAGACACTGACATGACTGTGGGGACACATCCATGTGTGTGTGGTGTGTGTATGCAGGTGTCTGTGAATATGTGTGTGTGTAAGAGTCTGAGACTGTGTGGGGGTGTGAGACCGAGGAGCTGATCAAACACAAACACAAGTGCTGTCTAATTGTGTGTTCACCTGTGTGTGTGTCTCCATTTGTGCTGATGAAGATGCAAATGACCTTAGGGGGGGCCAGGTTAGCAGGAGGAAGACATGATGTTGTGTCTTCTTCATTTACCAACTAAGATTCTGGATCCTGGGTGATTTTTCTTCAATGTATTCTTTCTGACTATTATTTAAAGAGGTTTCCTCTACTACCCACATTTGTCCTTCTCTGGACAGTCTGGATCCCATGCTCTCCTGCACCCAGGAGCCAGGGCAGAAGCCCAACAAACACCAATTTTATTGTTTCCATCCCAAGACACAGTGGCATCCATGGTCTGAGACTCTGGGGGGGAGGGGAACTGCCAGCTGGGGATGATTGGTACCCAGAGGAGAGGGGCAGGGCAGGGACCCAGGCAGCGTACCCAGAGGAAAGGGGTGCCATAGCTTTGAGGCTGTTGGGGTTTCGGATCATCTTGTCCAATGTGTTGACAATCTGGCCGAACTTGGGCCGGTGGTTCCGGTCTTTCTGCCAGCAGTCAAGCATGAGCTGGTGGAGGGCACTGGGACAGTCCATGGGTGGTGGTAGCCTGTAGTCCTGCTCAATGGCATTGATGACCTGGGGACAGTGTAGAGATGGAGTGGGGCTGGTATCTGCCCTTTGCCAAGCCCATCATGTCCCTAGTACATTGCAGGTTTAACCTACTTGGTTGCCATGACAACCACCTCCACCTGCAGGGTTCCCACCATCTGACCTGGTACCCCCAGGGCCCTGAAGATATCCCTTCCTGGCCCTCTGCTTGAGCCCAGAGTGTCCACATTCTCTATCTCAGTGCTATTTACAGGTCCAGGTATGTAATAAGTTCCCTGTTGGGCCCCACAGCACAGCTGTGAGCATGGCTGATGTCTTCTTCCCATGGCCCTCACCCACTCCTCTGCCAGAGAAAGGAAGACAGACACTCCTCTCCGGGTATCCTGCCACTGTGACCAGATTTGTCTACAATGTGGCCATGGGTTAGCCCCGCTGTTCAGGAAGCTTTTTCAAGTCCTTCCTGTCTGGAGTTTTGTAAATGACAGTCTCTTGAGTCCCTTCAAATACCTGATTATGGAATATCAGCAACTTTTCTGCCCATCCTCCCTCTGTTTTCTCCACGCAACCCTCATTATCCTGCCTCTGGGCCTTTGCACAGGCTGTTCCTTCTACCCAGGGGTCCTCACGCTCCAACTCCTACTGCTATTTGAGTACCACCTGTCCTGTGAAGACTTTGTGGCTGATTTTGTCTCTACTGCCCTAATCTTAATGCCTATAGGGTTCAACACATTCCTTCTCCAATTTAGCACCTGAGCATGAAAATTCTGTTAATTATATCTGTTTTTTAAAACTTTTTAATTTTAAAAATTTTTTTCCATAATTTTATTGAGAGACAAATAGCAATGAGACAGTTTCAAATCAAGTTGGTAGGACAGTTTCAATAATTAACACATTGCATACTGTCTTTCAATTATATCTGATTCCATGAATAATTGTCTCATTCCCAATTTAGTGGTAAATACCTGAAGGACAGACAGGGCCTCATTCTGAGCTGGCCACAAGGTATATACATCCTGAATATTTACTGATTTGTGAATGGGTGACCTTTCCTGCTCCTACCCTCTGGAGAGTCCAGCGTCCTGTGAGGACATCTGAATCAGCCGACAGTGACCTGTGAGTAGCCACACTGTCCATCTCAGAGGCCCTGGGAGATTGGCACAAGGTCCTATTTTTCCCTTCCCATCTGCCTTGCCAGAAAGGCTCTGCCCACCTCCAGGAGACTTACGTCCTGGTTGGTCATGTCCCAGTAGGGCCGCTCCCCGTAGGACATCACCTCCCACATGACGATACCATAGCTCCACACATCGCTGGCTGAGGTGAACTTCCGGTACTGGATGGCTTCTGGAGCTGTCCAGCGGATAGGGATCTTCCCGCCCTGGAGGACAGAATGAGAAGACAGATGGGTGGGAGTTTGATTCATCTGGGTTCTTCTCCATACTCTGCACCCTGTGCTCTGCACTGCACCAATCTCATGAAGCACCTCGCACTCCAGACTCGCTGTGCTGCTTCAGATCACTGGGCTTTTGCACATGCCATTCCCTCTGCTGAAAGTATCTTTTCCCACTTTGCCAGCTGATACCTCCTCCTCCTTGAATCCCTCTAAGACCCTCTCCTTGACCTCTCTAACCCCCAAGCCTGCCTTCTGGCTCTCCATCAAGGAGGCCCTTCCTGCATGACACATTGTGCCTGGCGCTGACCTGCCCAGCTGTCCTCGCACAGCTTCTGAGCTCTTTGAGGACTGGGCCTGAGTTTTCTTCTTTTTGATTTTAGACCCTTTAAGTCTGCCTGCTGCCAATGCACATCCTGGGCCTGCATATTGGTGTCTCCAGGATCCAGCCTGCCTAACTCCCCAGCACAATCTGCATCTGGGTCACCTGACCATAAGAATGTGCTGCCCATGAAACCCTTCAGGGCCCTCCAGCTCTCAGCTTAGGTGTCCCCTGCTCCCTCTGCCTTCTCTGTCTCCCAAGGTTGGGTGTCCCAGCTCCTAGCTCTGCCACTGAATAGCGCTCTGCATTCTGTGTCCCTGAGCAGCTGGGGAGCCTCAACAGGGAAGATGCCATACTTTATTTCCTTCCCTGGCTCCAGAGCTTGGCACAGGTGTCAAGGAAAGTGCAGTGCTAGGAGACATGGATGTTTAGACCTCTGCTGTGGTACTGTGGCTCCCATGTTTCCACCTGCATCTTACCAGGGCACTGGTGTAGGTGGGGTCTGAGGTGTCATCCTCTAGAAATCGCGAGAGCCCAAAGTCAGACACCTTGCAGACCAGGTTGCTGTTGACAAGGATGTTGCGGGCAGCCAGGTCACGGTGCACGTAGTTCATGTCTGCCAGGTACTTCATGCCCGCTGCGATGCCCCGTAGCATGCCCACCAGCTGGATGACTGTGAATTGCCCATCGTTTTGCTTGGGTAGAAGTGGAGGAGCAGAGTCAGTGGAAGAGTAGGCAGCAGAGCCCTGGATGCCCTCACAATGGGGCACCAGAGCAGGGCCCCATCACCTTGGCTCTGGACTGCCTGCAGGAAACACTCAGATGCCCTCGACCTTAGAGAAGGGCAGGAGGCTAACTTCAGAGTGTGGAGTGGACACGGGGCTTTGGATCAGACACACCTTGTCTGACTCTGGCTCTGCCCTGTCCTGACTGTGCCGCTTTGGACACATAACCTAACCTCTCAGAATCTACTTCCTCATCTCTGTGTTAAGTAGAGATAGCATCTACTTCCCAAGGCTGTTCTGAGTTAAACGGGAGAATGCACGGAAGGTGTCTGGCATGTGCTTCACGAGTGACTGTTGAATGACAGCCCAAGGCACAGTTCTGACACCCAGCTCTCTGTCTAGCCGATTGGCTAGCTGGATGGCCCATTCCTGAAGGGTCTTGGAATTTCCTCTGGTGGCCTTGTATTCTGAGGACTTCCTCACAGCCTAGTCACCTTTGGGGAACTCCAAAATCTGCTAGCTGAGGTGTCAAGGCACCTGGTTCCAGTCTGGGCTCTCACTTTGACCCTCTGGCAGACCTGCAGCAAGTGCCCCTTGTCTCTGAGCTCAGGTTCTCCTTGGCATAATGAGAAGCCTGCCTAAGCGCACAGATGGAAACAGATATCAGGTGTGTGCCAGCTCTGAGTGACTGACTGTTCTTCCTGGAAGAACACACTCAAGATTCTGAGATATTCTGAGCTCAGTGGGAGACAGTGATGGGATTGATTAGCAATGCCTGCCACAGGGAGGGAAATGGATGGACGGTGACATCCATTCTTGCCTAGAGCTTTCCCAAGATCCTTCAGGCTCTGACAGTATAAAGTTATATCCCTCATTACTCCTCTTTCCCCTCTTGTGGGCCCTGACATGCTTGATATTCCCTACCCGGAGGAAGGAGTCGAGGGAGCCATTCTCCATGAACTCGGTGATGATCATCACAGGCGTGCTCTTGGTGACGACGCCCTCCAGGTGGATGACATTGGGGTGGTCGAACTGGCCCATGATGGATGCCTCGCTCAGGAAGTCCCGCCGCTGCTTCTCTGTGTAGCCTGACTTGAGTGTCTTGATGGCCACAAAGATCTCTCTCTTGCCTGGCAGCTTCAGGTGGCCACTGCAGACCTCTCCAAACTCCCCTAAGACAAACACACCAGGAGAAGCAGCATGTCACTTGTCAGGTGAAAGAGCCAGCTGCCTGTTCCTGTCACCTCCACCTTTGGAGCCAGAAGGTACTTTTTCTTTTCAGGGGTCGACTCATCCTCTCAGACTCAAACCCCCTTTGAGAAGCTCCAGCCACCTATGGGAGCAGAGAACAAATCCTTCATGTTCACCCTGTAATAGCTGGCTGGGCAAGGGGGGAACCCAGGGAGAGGGACTTGGGAATGGTGGAAGGAGAGTCCTGGGAAGTGGTTCTAGACCTACCTGTTTCTGATTGTTGGGGGGCTTGTGTGTTAGCTCAGTGGTTTAAGTGCCTGCTGGGGCAAACCCAGTCAGGCGCAGGGGACCGCGGTTTGATCCCCGGCTCCCACGCTTTCCCAGACCCACCCTTAAGGCAGCTCCTGGAATACACTGAGGTGGTCTCATCCATGACCGATACCACCTACCTGCTCCGATCACCTGCTCGATTTTGACACAGGATATGTCAATTTCCTTGGCAAACTCCCGCACTGCCTCATTGGGGTCTTCATAGGTGAAAGGGTCGATGTAGATCTTCATGCCTGGGGTCACTGGGGGACAAGACCAGGTGTGGTCACACGGACTGATTCCCGATGTGTACAAATGGCAAAGCCCATCCCTCCATGGAGGGACAGACACTCCCGTGTGGCTCCCAGAATCCCTGGGCAACCTCCTGCAGGTCACTTGATCTTTCTGGGCCTCATGGAACAAGATAGGCACTGAGTGAAGAGGTGAGAGGAACAGAGAGCCCAACACAGGCAGCCCGTAGATTGTTCTAACTAGTTCTTGTCCAACTTTCATTGATTACTAATGACTTTGTGGGCCAGGGAAAAGACTCTAGAGGTTGATATGAGTGTGAGCTGATAAGAATGAAAGGCTCAGTAGGTTTTCTGGCTTTCAGATGATGAGTCAAGGTTGCTTTGCAAAGCAAGAGGAAGAGGGAGGATGAGAGCCAAACTACAGGAAGATTCTTGGGTCCTCTGAAGGAGACCTCCGTGGCTTTCTAGGCCCACTTGAAGCTTCCCTACTACTTGGGGTCTCTTCTCAGCTGCCCAGCCCCTCCAAGACCACATAGCCTGGAGGGGCTTTTCATTCCCCAGTGTTGGGTGCCCAGGGCTTTTGGGACCCACCTTCTAGCCACGTCTTAAGCCTTCCTGGATCCCTGACTCCCTGATGACCAGCATGAGGCTGGACAAATGGCCTGCTAATTTGATTCCTGATCTGGTATATATTTTCAGTTTTGATATAGAGAGGGAAGGTAATTTTGACATGAAAGGCCTAGTTCTGACCCAGCCCTGGGTCTGCTGTTAATAGGAAAGGAAAGATGATCCATCCTGCATTCTTCTTCCCAGATGACTACTCTCGACTGCCACTTCTGGCTCTCTCCCAGGCCTTCCTGTGGTCCACCTGGCTCCTGCCCACATCTCCTCCTGGCTCTGGGAGCTGTGACACTGAAGGGAGCTGCTCTCAGAGCTGGCAGCTGGAGTCCCTGGGTCACCCAGGCTTGGCTAGATGGTGACAGGGCCACCAACCCATTAGCTGGCTACTCTTAGCTTCTGTTTCAGATATCTCAGGAATCTAGGAATTGAAGCCTGTAACACAGAGGCTGGCAAACTGGCCTGATGCCTGGTTTTTAAATAAAGTTTTATTGGAACGTAGCCACACTTCTTCCTTTGCCCGTGGCTGCTTTTATGTCACAGCTGCAGAGTTGGGCGATTACAACAGGGACCCACAAAGCCTACAATATTTACTCTCGCTGGCCCCTTACAGAAAAATTTGCCAACCACTGCTCTAACACTTGCTATATTTGGGTGTTTGTGTAGCCCTTGAGGTCAGGGGTTGTTAATTTGGGCCTGGGGTGGTGGTGTCCGGTAACCTCCTGGAATGGGGTACATTTATTCCAGTTGCCTTTTTGGATTCAAAAAATAATTAACATTCCTTATAAAGTCCAAATGATACGGAAATAAATATCATTGAACATTTTTCAAACAATCCGTCCCTAAGCGCAGACCTCTGGATCCCCCTATCTTTGAATTTTAGATACATATACTCAGACTTATTTGTGTTTTTCCGGCTGTATGAACCAAAACTTTCAGGGAGTTTTCTAGGAGTCTGAGACTGCCCCCCAAAGAGGTTAAGGTACATTTTCACCCAAGATAGATTGTCTGGGAGGAGGCAGTGGCGCAGCCCCCTCCTATTTCCCCATTGCCTGGCGCACTGCGTGGAGCTCCGCACACAATAGACACTCGCTGTCTGGAGAGTGGAGAGAATCCAGATGACAGAGATGAAATAATAACAACAGCATCTGTCACTTGCTGCGTCCTTTGTCTGTGCCCAACATGGTGCCAGACTCTATCTGCATCACCTCGTCTATTCCAACAATTCTTGGAGGACAGGATAATAATCCACAGTTCACATATAAGGAAACTGCAGCTCAGAGAGGACAAGTAGTTGAGCCAAGGCCACCTAGCTGGACCCAGAGCCATCAGACTTGAGTCCAGGCCTGGTCTTCCACATCACCGTGATCACTGCCTCCTGGATGTGGCAGGAAGAGACTGAGAACGTGCCTGTGGGATGCAGCCCTGAGCTATGACTTCCTACTCCCATGGGGCACGGGGGGGGGGGGGGGGGCAGCTCTGGGAGGTGCGCTTTCTTGCCCATGGGTGACAGTGACTGGCTTTTAGCTTCCTTCTCTATGGAACTGGGAGGTCAGCTGGGAGGGAGGGCAGGAACAGGCTGGCTCAGTGAGCTAAGGGGAGCCACAGCAGAAGCCCAAAGCCTGCTGAGGCATCTTGGCTGCCAACATTAGATTCCACCCCCAATCCTTGGCAAAGGCCTCAGTGAGGAGGGGTCTCTGTCACTTCCGGGCAAATGCCTGTGCCCTGCATTCCGAGCTCTTCAGGATTCATTCCACCACTCCCTACTCCTGCTTTCTGGTCTGTCATGATTTGGACCTGGTTGTCCCCCAAAGGGTCATATGTTGGAGGCTGGGTCCTCAGTGTGTGGAGGTGGTGGGGCTTTGTTGGAAGGAATGGACAATTTAGTTCTCCCAAGAGATTATAAAAAAGCAAGGCAGGCTCTCCTGCCTCTGGCTTTCTGTCTCTGCTTGACTATTACTTCTTGCATGTGCTCCTGCCACAATTCCACCCATGACTGAGCCCCCACCAGAGCCAAGCGGATGCTACCCACCTCCAAAACTGAGCCGAATAAACTTTCTTTATGCTTTACCCAGCCTTAGGCATTTTGTTATAGCAACAGAGAGTGAACTATTACATCAATTAAGAGGAGTTATTTTCGCAGGGATTCCAGGTGCACCTTATCATTTTTGCCTCTGTTTTTGCTCCTGTTGTTTGTGCCACCTGGAACATTCTCTTCTCTTCTTCTTTGTGACCAGATCAAATGCTACCTCTATGAATCTTGCCTGGATTTCTCCAGAGAAGATCCAATGCCCTCCTTGGGTTCCCACCACTTCATAGCCCTGAGGTCTGTGTGATGTCTCCGCTTTATGCCAGGGTTCCCACCACACATCTCCCCTTGCACTACCTGTTACACTCTGCTGCCTGCCTCCCAGGAGGACACAGGCTGTGTCTCCTTTGTTCCTGCTAAATGCCAGGGTTTGGTACTTAGCGTTCAGTCAACGTGTATTTATTCATTTACATGCCTTCTTTCCCTCTCTTCAACCCAACGCTCCTTGGAAAGGTGAACTTCCTGGGTGTGTCCACTCCCATGTTCTACATCTAATTTGGGGGTGCTAGAGGCCTTAGAAGCTTTAAGGGTCCATGTACCTCACGTTATGAGTTATGAGCCCCTGTTCTAGAATGCTGGCTGTGGAGCACATATGCAAAGGTGGTATACAGCAGATGCCTAATAGATGCTTATTAAATGTATATGCAGTGTAGGTTCACCAGGTCCTGGGCCGCATTTATAGTTTTTGACCCAATTAATGTTCTCCATGCCCTTACTACATAGCCTCTTTTATTGGGCTGATCCTGATGAGACAGTCAATATTTGACTGTTTCTAACCTACAGAAATGACAGTGTCATTTGGCCAACCTAATATTACCCCATTTTTCAGACGAGGAAAATGAGGCATAAGATGGTGAAGTGATTCTACAAGGGGGTATGGGCACAGCTAATAACAGCAGGTTCCAGAGTCCACACTGCACCCAGCCAGCCAGCTTCTAGGTCATTGCTGTGTCTTCCGGGCCTGTCTCCTTGTACCATAAGTTGGTGCCTGGTGGCCAGAACTCACACAGGTCTGAGTCCAGGGGACATTTGTTCACCTGCACCTGGCCAAGGACCTCTGCAGCCCTCGGGAGTCTGCAGGATATAAAACAATGGATGATTCACTACTGTCAGGGCCATTGACTGTCCCTTTGAACCCGATGAGAACCTCAGGAGGAAGGAGGAACCATGCATGCTGAATCCTGGGTTTGAATTCTGACTCTGCCCTAACAACAGTCACAAATACAACACCTCATGAGTTTGAATCCAGGATCAACTATCTACTGGGTCAATCAGGCTGTGCGGCCTGGGGCATGTCATTTATCCCAACATTCTTTTTTTTTTTTTTTTTGGTGGAACTGGGGATTGAACTCAGACTGGGGCATGTCATTTAAACTCTGCCTCACTTTTCCATCTGCAAATGGGTATAATGTCCCCTCCAGTGTCTTCTGCTGGAGGGGACAGCAAATATTAAGTGTGTTCATCTTTAACGTGCTCGTACAATTGTCAGGAAATAGAAAGCAATAGATAACTACCTGTTACAAAGAAGGACTGGCTGTCATTAAGTATGATTTCCAAAAGCAGCCTACCACCCCTTCATTTGCTCTTCACAACCCTGTGAAAGGAGCATCATTCCTGCTACGTCCCATATAAAGATACATAGCTCAGAGAGGTTTGGTGACTCCACCAAGGTCACCCAGCCAGCCAGTGGCAAAGCCAGGATGAGAAACAGGGTCAGTCCCAGAGGTGCAACCTCCAGGACAATGGAGCGCCTTCTAATGATGGAAGGCATGAAACCACGCAGGTGACTGTGAGCCAGTCACGTGCGTCCCCGGGCCTCAGCTTCCTCCTCTGGCCTGGCCACCTGGGGCTGCCAGGTGGATTTGGGACCACAGGGCGGGGGCAGAACTCTGAAAAGAACAAAGTCCTGTTTAGCTCTGCTGTTCCAGCACAGGATGCAGGGAGCAGGAACTCAGGCTTAAAATCTATTGATCTAGGAACAAATCCTGGAGCCTATTTTTAAAACGAACCTCACCTGTTTCCTTGTTATTGACTCACTCACGCTCCAGATAACTGTGTTCCCAAATGGCTCCAGGTGGCAGAGCCTGAGAACTGTCTCACTCTGGCTCCACAGAATGGAGACAACACAGGATGGCTGAGAGATCTCATGTCGGAGCCAGAGAGCCGGTTCCGACCCCAGCTCCCGCCCTGAGCAGCTGTGTGGCCTCCATGCCCAGCTTCCTCAAAGTGGGCAATTATAAGGATTCAATGAATAAATACACGTTAGGCATTAAAACAATTCTTGGCACATAGAATGCACTCAATATGTCTAGCCACATCTATGATCATGACTTTATTACTTGGGGGGAGGAGGGAGTGATGTAATTTATGACTTGTTTTTAATGCACAAGTGAGTTTTATTTCTGTGCAGTTAAATGTGTCTACTTTTTGGGGTGTGTGACCCTTCCATTGCTTTTCTGCTCGGAGAGGCCTTTTCCACCTTCCTGTCTGTCAAGTAGTCATTGCCAGAAAGTTTAAGTGGTGCAAACATTTGTACATTTGGGTCCCAAACTAGTTCTAAGCCTAAGAACTTTTGCTCCAGTGGTTGTAGCCAGAAGCGTAATATCTAGAACTCCTGGATGCTGCTTTTTCTTGCACGCCCTATGTTCAATCCCAGGCTGGGGTGTTTGGTTTGCTTCTCTGGTGTCCCCAGCATCTGGGGCACTGGCTAGCACTTGAAGGAGACTCACCGCAGAGGTGTGACAAATGAAGGATCTGCTCACCTGGAAAGCACCATGTGGGGAGGGAACCCTATGGTACCACACTGAACACAGTTTGAGAATCTATACTGGACTCATTTGGAATTCCTTTTTGCTGAGCTGAAATAAAGACTAAGCTTCTTAGTCCCCTCGGTCCTCCATATTCCCTCCTTCCTGATTACCGGTCCTGCCAAGTCAAATGGAGAGAGGGACCTATGATCTGTGTTTCTCTCTGGTCTTTCTGGCCCATGTACTCTTGGTGTTTAGGGGCATCCACACACTCAGCTCTTGCTAATGTGGGAGGAGACAGTGAGGGGAAGCAGCTACCAGAAGACTCTGGGAGGAAGAGCAGGGTGGGTGGAGCTCCAGAGAGAGATCGAAAAAGGGAGGAAAAGGTGCTGCTGCTGGCCTCTCCCCATCCCGGGCCAGAGCCTGGGCTCCCATCTCCTCAATCACTTAAGGTGCTTACTCTGCAGCTGTGTCTCTAAGTGCCTACTAGGTGCTAGGTGCTGCTGGTGCTGGTGCTGGTGCTGGGTGCTGCAGGGGGCAGGGGGAACATGCGGCACTGCTTCAGGTCTCCAGGAGACCAGGAAACAGCGCCACACGCAGCCTGGTAAAGGGGGCTGTGCACACTGGAAGGGGTCTCAACCTGCTCTGAGCAGGGTGGCTCAGTGGCCAGGGAGGGATGCGCCTGAGCTGATGGGAAGACACTGGGGTGCAGTGTGCTTCGGGCAGAGGGCCAGGAGGGGGGTCAGAGCTTGGCCCAGCCAGAGACCAGCCCAACTGCCCCTGTGCTGCAGCGCAGAAGGAGGAGGCAAACGAGGGCTGGAGTGGGGTCCCTGAGGACTGACAAGGCGGGGCCCAGGGCTGCAGCCGGGCTGGGCTGTGTACGTACTGTGGCCGCTGGTGTAGTGCTGCAGCTTGTCCGTGTACTCTGAATCGGCACGCTCAAACCCCCGTCTTCTGGAACAAAAGCAAAGGGCTGGAGCCACCTGCGGGCACCCAGGGGAGCTGGGAGCCACAGGAGGTGACAGGGAGAGAGGGCACAGGCCCTCACAGCCATCCTTCTGCTACAGAGCTCCCTGCCTGTCTTGCCAACAGCCTCCCCCCTTCCAGCCCACTTGCCCATCTCCACTTCTCCCATCTCAAGTGTGGGTGTGCTCTTTTTCTGGTCATTTCTCCAGCCAACCCCCTTTCAGAGACTGAAGTCCTCTTCCAGCCCCAGCGGCTTCTGTCCATCTGACCTCATGGTGGGTCCAGTCTGTTTGAAAGTGGGGGACTCTTTCAGGAGGAAGAGAGTCTGCACAGTGCCCAGTGGAGGTCTGCGAGCTGGTTCTTTCTCCTTAGCTTGTGCTGTGCAGGCCATTTGGGGTGCTGTCTCCCCAAGCCTGTCCTGACTGAGTCGTGCCATCTTTCTAGCACTTCAGCCAGGGGCCTCAGTCATGCAGAAAAGTGGGGTGACCTGTACTCCCTGCCCTATCACCCCGGCAGCCTGCAGTCACTCTGTCCTCTGTTCTGAGATGTTGCAGGGTGCAATGCCTGAGGACCTCAGTGCACCACGCTTTTGCCCAGAGGACTTGTGGGGAGGGCTGCTAGGGCCACACTAAGTTCAGGAGCCTAACTGCGCCCCCTGCCTGGGGAAGCTCCTCTGCTCACAAAGGCAGCTTGGGAATGGCTGGTTGGCTGGAGAGAGCCACCTGGGATGGCAAGACCTGAAGCCGGCTCAGGGACACCCACCTGTTACACACGATGGCTATGACAACCACGGCAATGAGGAAGACCAGGCCGGCGGCCGAGGAGCCGATGATGAGAGGCAGCTTCTCCTGGATGCTGGTCTGGTACTCGGCTGTGGAGAAAAACACAGTGGCCCACATCAGCCTCGCGCTGGGGGTCCTGACGCCACCCCCACACTCCTGCCGGGTCTCCTGCAAACCAAAGCTCTGATCTTGCTTCTGACAGGACACCTGTCATATGTCTGGGTGGTGAATGAGCATCCCATGTTCACCAGTAGCCTGGGCCACATCCATAGGCTGCTCCAACCCTGAGTTTCTCATCTATAAAATGGGTACCATCATGCCCACACCTGTGTTGTGTGACACTCAGCAGTCGTCACGGCTGAGGCAGATCGGGGAGGGGGAGGCAGTTCTGAGTGCAGATTAAGGGGGCCAGACTGTGTGTGAATCTCAACGATGCCACCTGCTGTCTGTATAATCCTGCGGTCATGTGCTTCTCCATGCCTCAGTTGTCCTGTCTCTAAAATGGGGAAAATATCTGCTCCCATCTCCTAGGACTGCGTACAAAGCTCTTCAAACAGCAGCTGGCATGCAGCAGACATGCACGGAGCATGAGCCACCACCATGATCGATTGCTGCAGCTGTCAGTTGCTGGGCCAAGTATGGGACAGACCTGGTTCAGTTCTCAGAGTACTGCCGTGGTGTCCTTCCCACCTCTGCTCCATTTTACAGAGAAGGAAGCTGAGCTCTGCGAGGTCACAACTTGCCTGAGGTCATATAGTCAGGAAAGGGCTAAACTCATCATGCGAGCTCGGGGGTGGGGGGTCTGTGCCCCCCAGGACCTGTGGTGAATAGGAGTGTGTGTAAGATGTGCTTAGCTCAGCCTGGCTCATGGGAACCATTCAGCATCTTCTCCACGCCATCAGCACCATCATCATTCTCAGTTCTATTGTTATTACCTCTCCTCTTTCTCCCTGACCAGGGGAGGATCTCACCAAGATCAGAGATGAGGTCAGCTCTGGGTCCTTGGGGCCCTGCCCACAGGCTGGCATTTTCTCAGGGGCCAAGCATGTGTGTGTTGAAGTTGGGACAGTGCCCCCACTCTCAGTGAACTCATCCAGTATGAGGAAAGGCTCAGAAAGGTGGAAACAGGTGGGCATGAAGCAGGGGTGTATGGAAAGGTGGGTGCTGGGGTCCAGGAGCCTCTGTGATGCTCAGTCAGACAGAGGCCAAGGCCAAGGCCCAAGCCCTATGGCTGAGCAGATGCTGAGAAGGGATGCTGGAGGTCTGGTCATAGAAGCAGGGGCTCAGCAGCTCCACTGGCTGGTGACATCCGGACCCATGACCCCAATAACCATAACTGCTATTTGGCGAATGCTAGCTATGTATGGAACCTAAAATCAGCCCAGGGCTAGGTTTCTCATAGTTACATTATTTCAATGATGATGTAGTTACTATCACCCCCTTTTATGGATGAGAAAACTGAGAGTCACTGAGGTAGCATGAACCACACAGAGCTGAATCATCCCAGGAATCTCCATCTGTTTGATTTCAGAGTTCATACTCTTTAATGTCTGACACTTCTTAAAGATTATTAAAGCAGGTATTGTGCTCAGAAATCCATGTAGTTTCAGATTGGAAAACATGAAGAGTGCACAGACTGGGACATCTAATTCCATGCCCTGGGCAGACATTACTAATCTATCCAAGTACTTCTTCCTACTGAACTTTGATGTGGCCTCAGAATTCTGAGTTCCATTCCCAAGTCATTAGAGTTGAGTGTAGATATAACGCATCTACACTGTCAGATGGAATCTAGCGCTTTCATTTTATAGATGAGAAATATGCAGACAGGGGTGGAAGTGAATTGCTCAGGGCGGCTCTGCAAGTTAGGGTTGAGTTCTTGACATTCAGAATAGGGGTGCCCCTCTGACCTGCACAATGGCTCCCTAAGAATGGACCCCTGAACTGGTTTGTGTGTGTGGAGGGGGATGCCCTCCTCTGGCATCCCGGACTTGGCTCACCTTCCGTCATGGTCTGGAAGTACATCTTGCCGCTGTAGCGCCCATAGCCTGCCACGGTGCGTGCCCGCACCTGGAAGACATAGATGGCGCCGGCTTTGAGGCCCTGCACAGTGACCGTGTTGGTGGGGCTTTTTATGGCTGTGGCGTTGTACTCACTGAGCTCCTGCCGGGAACAGAGAAGGTGGTTAGTGCTGTGTGGCCAAGAGTGGGTTTGACCCCTGCCCATTGCTGGTACCTCCGGGCAGGTCTGGCTGGGGGGCACATCTGGCCACTCCCCGTTCTTCACCCTCCCTCGTCACTGATACACAGCCGGGCCCTATTGCTAGGTGACCTCCAGTGCTTCCAACACAAGAACAGTTTTCCTCGTCCCTGTGCATGCTTGATTTGGCCACATGGCTGGCTTTGGCCACTGCAAGATTCTGTTGGACACCATGCTGGTGGACACGACGCAAGTTTTCCGTGGGCTTGCTTGTCTGGTTAGGATTCCTGTGCTTCCACCAGCTGTCAGGAGACAGGCTTGCCCCAAGTAACATCTGGTTTAAGATGAGAAACGCGTCAAGAACTTGACCCCACTCCTAGGCTGAAACAGGACACCCTGGCTAACTCCCAGGCACAAATTTATAAGAAAGAAACAGCCCCTTGTACGTCATTGGGTTGGGGAAAATATTTGTTTTATGGCACAAGTTCAGCAACAGCTGACTAATACACACGTGTACAGACCCAAGGGCTAGGCCGTAAGTCCTTGGAGACAGCAGGAAAGGCCCGCACCATCACTTCTGCACCCGCTTCCCTGCCCCATGCCGATGGGTCGAGTGGAAGGGTCCCTTTCTAGGCTCAGCTACTTGGGTAGGGTGAGCTTGAGCTCACACAGACCAGTGGCCGGCTTCTGTGGGACTGCCTGGAGCCACCGCTAATGTCCATGCCTGAGGGTGGGCAGATCCTAACCTTCCCTCCTTTAAGAGGTAGAGGACACCAACCCTGGCCACCTGTGCACCGCCACGTGTAACCCATGGAGTCTGGGGCAGGACAGAGTTCATCTCTGCAGTGGGCTGTGGTTGGGCTGGATGCAGGAGATGTATGCCCAGGCATCTGCCAGCCACTCAGCAAACCTTCTGTCTGTACCCTTTTGACGTTGAGCCTGAGCTAAGCTCTAGGGTCCTAGAAAGGACCAAGGGCTAAGCAAGCCCTGGCTCTAGGACTCAGTCCAGGAAGGGGAACAATATAGGGATTCCAATTCTTGGAGTACTAGGAACTTGTTTGAGACACTAAGGAAAATCTATAAGCCCTTATCTAGGAAAATGCATGCGTTGTTTTACACATGTACATATCACCGAGTGCACGGAGCTCCTGAAACAGTGAAAATTAGCACCAGCAATATGATGGCATTGTCGTGTGGAACTTAAGGCCACAAAGAGGAGCCAGGTTTCCTGGGTTCAAACTCCAACTTTAGAACTTATTAACTCTGTGACCTGCGGCAAGTTTCCTGACTTCGTTACATCTTAATTTTTTCATCTGCAAACTGCAAATAACCGTAACAACAGCCGCCTCAAAGCATGGTTTGGAGGACAAAGTGAATCAATGGGTGTGAAGCATTCAAGCTGGTAGGGTGAGTGCTGTGAACTGGGGGCGTGGGAGCTGCCCTGGGTGGGGGCCACCATGGAAAACAGGGAGAGTTCTGCAGAGAGTAGGTGTGCTAGATTCACCTCAATAACATATAGGAGCTACCCAGGACATTCCTGGAAAGGGACAGCAGGTGCAGGGATGAGGAGGGGACAAGGAGCTTAGGATGGGAGGCAGGGAAGCGCTGACCTGGAGGTGTCTGCTTCTGACCCCCATGCCAAGGGGGAGCAGGCGTGCCCCCTGGGGGAGAGGGGACCAGGAGGAAGTCGTTTCCTGAGTCAGATCATATGCACCCTCCTCCAGGAAGCCTTCCTGCTCTCAACTTCCTTAGCCTTTCCCTCCTCTAGACCCCAGGTCATTTGCTGTGGACGCTACAGAGAGGGGATTTCTGTCGCCTCCTCTCAGTCTGGCCCCAGGCCCATCTTTTGCTCTTGGCTGTGGGGCTGTGTGTTTTATTCTCCTGTATCAAGCACGGGTGCCCACAGGACGAGGCTGACCCTTTCACTGGGCCCTTCACGACCACTCTCCTGACATGTCCCCGATGTGCTCTAGGCCCTAGATGTCTCTAGCTGCTTCCTTCCTCCCTGGGAGGGCTGCCAGAAGTGACACACTCCAACACAGGTTGCATAGTTAAACTCGTGTTTCAGACGAGGGCTACATGTTTTTAGGGTAAGTATGGTCCGTGCAGTATTTGGGGGTATAGTATAATTAGTTTTTAAATTTCAAATTAGTCTTGTCTTCTGTATTTTATTCTCAGTTTTGCAGTACTGAGGATCAAACCAAGGGGCTCATGCATGTTAGAGAAGGGCTCTCCCACTGAGCTACACCCCGGCTCTGGGTCCCTATCTTCCCTGGTCACACTGAGCTTTTGCAAGTAGGTCGCCCCAGTCTGAAACACCCTCTCCTCTTCTGTCTGGCCTGTGAATCGTTGGAGACTCAGCAAAAGTGCCACCTCCTGCTGGGAGGACTTCACAGATGCCACAGCTGCAGTAATAGATCCACACTGCTTCTTCTTCAATAATTTATTGTTCTGGGTCTGGGGAGATAGCTCAGTGGTCTAAGTGCCTGCCTGGCAAGTGCAAGGCCCAGAGTTTGATCCCTGCTACCACATGCTGTGCTGGTTCTGAAACTGGGGGCGGTGGTGCACGCCTGTAATCGTAGAGCTGGGGATGCTGAGACAATAGGGTCACTATAGTCTGAGCTGCATAGTGAGACCCTGTACTTAAAAAAAAAAAGTTAAAAAAAAATCTATTGTTCTGATACATGTATTCATCTGCTCTGAAGATGTGGGTCTCACAGGCCTGGGGCCACATTACTTCTCTCCAGATCCCTAGGACCAGCACACAGTAGATGCTCACTAAATATTGACACAATGAATAATAAACTGCAAACTATTAAAAGCAAAAAAAAAAAAAAAAAAAAAAAACCACAACAACAACAACAACAAAAAACCCTCGAAGCTCCTGGATGCAGTACCAGACCTGACCACTAGGAACCGCTGTCCATCAGGGATCCCTGGGTGAGAAAAGAGTCCAGTTGTGCAAATTGGGTGGGTGCCCACAGGAATGTTGGCGGTTTTAAGCTCCTCATTATGGGTGTGTGTGATAGGGAGACAGGAGGTAACTGCTGGTGCCATGGGTGTCTCAGGAGAGCCGAGCAACAACAACTCTCTTGAAAGCCTGACACAGGACAGAGTCAGGGAATAGAAGTTATTTTCCAGTACCGGTTCTTCCTCTTCACTGCATTGTGGCTGTGGGAAGGACCCTTCACTTCCCTGGGCCTCTGGTTTCCATTCCAGGAAATGGAGCAATAAATGGCAACCCCTCAGGGCTGCGGTGAATATAAAATTGGATCAGGTGTGCCTGGCACCCTGGGAATGCTTAGCGACATTGGTTCCCTTATGCCTCTCCTCTCTGGAGTGTGTCTATTTGAACAGTGATTAAACACCAGAGGCAATGGAAGAAACTCGATCTGAAATCCACTAGTGCTTTCTCTGAGTCCTTCCTGGAGACGTAGGACCAGTGAGGCAGCCGGCATTCATAGCCTCAGCCCCAGCCTCGTCTAGAGTGGGATGACAGGGGTAGGTGTGTCCCTGTGTGGGTGACCCTGACATGGATAAAGCTCCTAGTATAAGTATCCTCTCAGTGTGCTGAGAGGAGTATTATTATTATTATTATTATTATTATTATTATTATTCTTTGTGGTATCGGGAACTGAACTCAGGACCTTGCCCTTGCCAGGAAGATGCTGTGCCTCTGAGCCATATCCCTGGCCCAGACGGCCTTACGAATGCCAGCTTTCCAGCCATTGCTACCTACCATCAACACTGTTATGGACTAAGCCCTCATCAATGTTCACTAAAGAATGAATGAACACAACATGAGCAAATGAGTGAACAGGCCTCTCTGGGTAGATCTTGCTCCAGGTCCCTGGGCAACAACTTGAGCACACCCTGGACTTTCACAGTTCACTCCCTATCTTGCTTTTGCCTCACTTGCTTGAAGCATTCTTCCCCCCTGTGGCTGCCCAGGAGAGGTTTCTGTTGAATAAATGCTGATGTCCATGTGGCCTCCCAGGGCCTGTCCACTGCAGACACTTCCTGAGCCCTTGCAGAGCCAAGGGAGGCATGGACCGGTGTGCTTCAGGGCAGCTGCCGAAGGAGGCAACCTCCCCTGGGAAGCTGGAGTGGATGGAAGCTGCCTGCCTGGATCTGCCCTGGGCCTAGAGGCTGTGGGATCCCAGAGGAACCAGCACCTGTGCCAGAGAAGCCCTTGGGAGGAGGCAGGAGAGATGGGGTGGGACCCTCACTAGGAAGATCTGGATGTCACGGGAGGACCCAGCTACAGGCACCAGGAGGACCTCAAGCGTCCAGTAAGAGCTGGCTGTGGACTTGTCAGAAATAAATCTTGCCATTTACAGCCTGGCTGTTGCCTGAGGGCCACAGCACCCCAAAAGGGAAAAGCAGTAGAAGAGACAACAGGGACAGAAACTGCTACTGGTTTGCTCCGACCCCTCTGTCGGTCACACATTTGCCTCTCACCAGGTGTCCTCTTGGGCCCCACCCTCTGCTTCCTCAGTCCTTCTGCACACACTTCTGGCTGTCTCAAGCCCCTGTCTCTGAGCCTACAGCCCTACCCTGGCAAATACCACCCTTACATCTGCTAATCCTGCAAGTGTCCCTGGGCCCCCGAGCTTCACAACAGTGCCAGTGTCTGTCACTTCTCACCCCCTCTGCTGCCACCCCTGCAGTCCATGTCACCATCCTTTCTCACTGGGTTTCCGCGAAAGCCTTGTGTGGGTCCTCCTGCAGTCTGTTCTCCACACTGTAAGCTATAGGAATTGCTACCGCAATTTAAGTCAGACCATATCATTCCAGAACATTCCCATCATACTTTAAGCTGAAACCAGACTCCCAAGGCCTGGACACAAACGGGCCTTGCCTCTCTCTCCAGCCTGCTCCCTGCTGCTCTCCTCCTCGCTCATATTACTCCTGCCACATGGGCCTTGTCTTCCCCCAATGCAGCTGCACATCGCTGCCCCAGG